AAATATAAATATTCTCCCTTTACTGAGGACAATACTAAGCAATTACGGGGAAAAATTTGGCCTATGTGACCCTGTGATATAATATCCTTTCTTCCTACGTCTTGTTAGTGAGCTAATAAAGGTGTTTTTGTATAAAGAAAGCTCTCGTGTAAACGGCAGGTAACTTTGTGATGCTCTGGGGCAATTTTCAAAATTCTACTTTAATTGCAACGGTTACATCGTAATACTGAAGTGAAGAAAACAATTTATAAGTGGTGGTCGAAAATCAATGGACGTATGCCAAGGAATTATCAAAGTTCGCCTCACAGATCTTCAATTCTACCTTCATCAGAACTCCCTCACTAGCGTTTACTCTTTGAAAAGACTATTGGCAAAAGCTCGGCGTACAACGATTCTACTGAACATCTTATTTCTTCTGCTTAATCAATAATATTTTTGACGAGCGTTCCCTAATAATAATCGTGACTTAATGAAAGTCTTACAAAACCAAACCGAGGAGGAGGTGACGCTACGGACAGCAAAGTGCTTCTCTGATTGCCTGTTTTACTGCTTGTTTTACTTCACTAATTTTCATACTCTCACGCATATCTTTTCTTAGATTATGAATTGATCTAATCATGATAATGTGAGGTAGCATTAAAAATAATTTTACAAATTTATGGTTAGCTTTTCCATTGCCTTCCCTTTAGTTGTTAAGATGTGAAAAAAAATACAAGTTTTGAACTGAAAGTACCAGTACGATCGGGTAAAACTCGAGATGGTCTAACTCCATGGACAGCAAAGTGCTTGTCTGATTGTCTGCTTCATTGCTTGTCTTGCTTCACTTATCCTCCAGCGGTAAAGAAACGGGTTTAACGTCGAGTTAAAGTAAACCAAGACATCGGCTATTCCCCATAGGATGACCAAGTGCGATGAATGTGTTTTGTTACTATGTGCAATCGCGGTCACCACGATAAAGAATGGTGCAAAACAAACAACTAATGCTAACTGCACCCACAGTGCACTATACACTGCTTTTCTGTATTGAGCTATGTTCAGTACATTTAGTTGGCTCGGCTGTTGTTGAACGGGATCTTCTGCCTGAACCTGATGATATCTGAGAGTGCGAAAAATCTTTGTGTATGATGCAAGTGAAATAACCAGGCAAAGTAGTATAGTTATGAGACGGTGCAAAAGAATTATACGGTCATCAAGTAAAGCGCATAAAGAAGAGACAATAGCCAAAATCCAGATGGTAGCTACAATGATGTATGTGCGCTTCAAAGTTACGATTTCTTTGTACCTCAGCCCCAACAATAGGGCGAGAAGTCTGTCCACGTTTATAGCCGTCATCGTCATCAAAGACACTAAAAACAACGCATACCCCGTGATGTAGGCTGCGTCAAATGCGTATCGACAAAGGCTCCAGTGTTCCTGAACTAAGGACATCCAATAAGTAGCATAGAGAGGCTGGGCAACAAGACCAACCAACAGGTCAGTTGTTGCCAGAGAACGGTACAAGAGTTTGGACGGTCGGTGGAGGGAAGATTCCTTGTGAAGGGCAACAAGGATGAGAGAATTTGTAAGGAATGCTGTGATGGAGAGGAGAATGTGCACTGCTGAGAAAAAAGTAAATATTTCATGTAATCCACCTCCAAAAGATGGGTTGCATATCAGTTCTACAAAGGTTTTCGTCTGTGTTCCACTCCTAGTGACGATGACTGAAACTTCCTTCAATAAGCACATAGAGACTTCCTCATCAGCGTTTGCTTGTTCAAATTGCGTAAACAAATTGTCTGTTGTGCCAAAGAGTTGATTGCTTTTTTCCGGAACCCCTCAGATTTAAGCTTCTTTTTAATATTAGAATTCATTTACATTTTAATGGTTTGATGCAAAATTTTATACAGATGATATGGACACTTGACTAGCTCCCTATCGATGAAAGATCATTAGGAAACGTGACCAAAACAGGAACAAATGAGCTTTAAGAGTGAAACGTACAGACAGACATCTTTGATACTAACAGTATTTCACAATTATTTTAAACGTCGCCTTCTCGGGT